GAGGCCTCGCCAGCGGCTTTCCTTGCGGTTCCCCTCTTTCTCGGGAGTGCTCTGGGTGCTCTTACGGATCTTTTCTTCAACCAAGACATTTCCTGGGTATATCATTGTAACCGTTTCGGTGGTGTTTGCCCAGATATTGGATCTTGTGTTTTCCCTTCTCTGAGGTTTCTCTTGCAGCGTTTCTTACAGCAAGGCTGGCTGACTGCTTTCATTTTTCACTCAGGATTTGCTTCCTTTGTTTAGGGTGGATCTGTGTTCTGAAGCTTTTGCTGGACAGGCTTTTAGTATTTCTGCCTGTGAACGATATTCTGGATTGTGCAAATGAAAATATTTTCCTCAACTTCTCCAGCTATAAGCGAAATCTCGACACCCAACCCCCCCAACCAAACTAAAAACCACCAGATAAATTGTTTCACCTGAATCAATGATATTTCAGGAGCTGCCTTGCTGTAATTTTTGCTACATATTTTCTTTAATCAAAACTGTCTCCGACCTCATGCTGAAAACGTAGGCATGTCGAGAGATGATGAAAATAGTTGTAGAGCTGACTAGCTTTGAACCTTCACAACTATGTGCTGCTCATAGGAGTCTGGATAATTACATTTCCTCAGAGCAGCTGACATATTTTGGGGATGTGGAGTTTATTGTTCATATTTACTGAGCTCCCAATCAGTGAGTTTTGTTTGCGGTGTCCATTCAGAAACAATCCTGGTTTATGCTTGTGATGATCTCTCCCTAAATTTCTCACTTTCTGGTCTCACAGTGATTTATGTATTTCATATACCAGCACATCAGAGTTGATGCCTATGTTAATATATTAATACTGTTCTTATATTATTTGCAGCGTGTTCTTCTTCTAGTTGCTTCAGATGTTGACGCGTTATGTGCTTGTAAAATACTCCAAGTAAGTCTTTGTTTGTTGTCACTGCAGGGTAACAGTAAGAGAAATAATGTCCTGGGATCCTCTTAATGAGTCTGAACTGGGAAAAGGGTGACGGTTTAATCTGCTTTTGTAATTTATTTTTGCCATGAGTTATGACACTGAAGACTGGTTAAGTCATACTCCCAAAGTTCACGTAGATTTGTCATTTGGGATGTCTTCAAGATGAGGATTTGTATGAAATATAATTATAGCATAGTGTAACATTGTAGAAGAGATTGTTTCCCTCACCTTAGCTAACTGCTGTTTGCTCCATTTCAGGCTTTGTTTCAATGTGATCATGTGCAATATACACTTGTCCCAGTATCTGGATGGCAGGAACTTGAAACTGCCTTTCTCGAGCATAAAGATCAGGTAAAAAAATACCGGAAATTTTTAAAGTTGCAGCTCATCTTACATGGATGTGCACTTCTTTCTTTTTCCCAACTTAAAATGTTATCTCTTAAGCTAATTATTATTATTGATTACCTCAAAACAGGGGCTAAATTTTAACATACGAGTAACAAACTTGTTGAGTTTTTTTACATCAGCTCAAACTAATATGCTATAATTTTGATAGATTAAAATAAAGTTTGCATCTGTTTTGACGTAAAAAAGTTGGTGGTATTGGATGTCCAACATCCCTGAATTTGGTGTTTTGTGTTAGAAATTTTTTTCCTTCTCTGAGGCATTAAATATCAGGAAGTAAATACAAGTTTTGGCAATGATGAGTGCTTTGGAGGTTTTGTAAAGGTGTTTTCAGTCTTCCATGTACCTGCAAATTGCAGTAAAAACCACTCCTTTTTAATTTTGTTTGCAGTTCAAATATTTTATTCTTATTAATTGTGGTGCCAATGTTGACCTTCTGGAGATCTTGCAGCCTGAAGAAGACACCTTTTTTTTCGTATGTGACAGCCACAGACCTATCAATGTAGTGAATGTTTACAATGACACACAGGTAAACTGAGCTTTCCTTAAAGATGCATAATAAAAATCTTCACACAGTGTGGTGGTGGGTGGTGTCGTCCTTTTCTGTGTTTTGCAAAACTGCTTACAGAGTTAGCTAGTAGATCAGAAAGCAGTATCAATGGATACTTGCAGCAGCAATATACACAATCAGAAAAAAAATATTTTCAGTAATAAAATACAGTTAACAGTGTGGTAGCTGTCAGTAGTAAGCACCTGTTAATCCTGTTGCTATAAATCAAGCTACTACAAATCAAAGGATAAACATCCTCCAGAATGTAACGTTTATTATCTCTAAGAGTCTAGCAACACCTAGAATTTGGGTATTAAGCACAAATTATTTGATAACATGCCTTTAACAGGCATAAAAAATAACTCTTAGTAATGCTGTAACAAAGAATACATCTACTCTTCATGTGTACGAGTAAGTATGGTCTTTGTGTTAAAAAGCAATATTTTCATTATGCCAGGAACTGATCACAGCCAAAATGAATTTTTAGTTTCTCTTACTAAGGATCTAAAGTATTTGAAATAAATTTTAATAATTAAATAAGGTACTTTATTTAAAACACATTTTTTTTCTTGCTAGATTAAGCTATTAGTTAAACAAGATGATGAGCTCAATGTTCCTGCTTATGATGATATCTTCAGAGATGATGAGGATGAAGAAGAGGACTCAGAGAATGAAAGCGATGGGTCAGAACCTTCAGAGAAACGTAGACGTTTTGAAGAGGTGTGTTTCTGCTGCTTGGTTGTAAAAAGAAGGAGAATAAAACAGTTGTTATATATACTTTTCATCATCACAATAATTACAATTGAGTTTAAAGATTATGTTCCATTAGATGACAAATTCAAGTGCAAGATTTATAAATAATCTACTATGACCACTAGAGTTTCACATACACAAAATGTTTGTTTATCTGAGCTGCACAGAAATATTTTTTGGTTATCAAAACATGTTTTGAACTTGATTATGCATAATGGTGTCTTCTGTGTAACCAGTGAGCTGAAGAGATCTGTCTCTGATTGTGTGCTGAAAGGTCTAGCAAAACAACTTACTTAGATACAAACTGTTTGGATATCTTTAAATGTTTGAGAGGATTGAAGCTCCCAAAAAATTTAACAATACATTTTGTCTGTCCTTGTACCAGTAAACTAACAAAAGTATATTATGGTAAAGACACCAAAAAAAAAAATTGGTGTATATTATTTGTAGCACATTTTCTATTTATATCATACAAGGAACCAAAGGCATGAGGCTAGCAATATCAAGAGACAATTAAACGTTAAGACATTCTCAAATTTAATATATATTTCATTTTATTTTTCTATTAATATTGTACATTTTTTTCTACTAATGTACAAAGTGTGCTAGCTCAGGAAAAGTTATCAGAAATCCAAAGAAAAATCTATACATAGCATACACAAAAACTGTTTTTTAATCTGTTAAATATTTCACAAATATATTTTTGATTTCTTTTCATTTTCAAGCTGATGATGGTATTTATGGAGCTGAAATGTACAGTGGCTTTTTCTCTGATCTTCATTAATTATTTTTCATTAATATCATTTTTATTATATAAAGTGGTAGGATACAATGTTGGTACCATTGAAAATACTGTGTACTCTTATTTGTGAAGGTGAGCTAAATAAATACTAGCATAGAAAGATGCCATGACTTCATAAAAGTGTGTGCCCTGGAAAATATTTGATAATAATACTTTTCCCTTTAGGTGTTAATGAGAATAATTCTTTTTTAAAGTCTTCTTAATGAAGGCTTAGTCATTAAGGTATTTGTATAGGTGCTAATCTAGTAGAGTATTGTCTTCTAGCTTTTTAACATCTAAATTAATTTACAGGATGTAATAGAGAGAACAATGAAAAGGCGACAAAGGCGAGAGTGGGAGGCACGCAGGTGTGTTTAATTGTTTGGTTTTTTATGTTGCATGCATATCTTTTTCTTTTATTCTTTCATTAAAATGCTGTTGACAATACAAAACCATGATACCATTTTGCTTGATTTGCAAGATGTTTTAGTCTTAACTTTATTCAGAAAGTAGAGACAGATATTTACTATATAAAAGTAAAACTTTTAAATGGAGGATAGTTGTAAATAGTAATTTGTAAATCTGAGTAGCAATAGGGGCGGTGCTTCACTTTTAAGTAGCTGTAGTATTCTTGTCCATCTTGGGGTGAAATTTGCACTTCTGTTTTCTTTCTTTACAATCCCATTATTGTCAATAGGAATGAGCAGGAACAAATCAGATAGGAAAATGGGATTTGAGGAATCAATTATTTAATTTTTCCTTTTTACTTTTTGAATACATTTCAGTGTGGTTTCTACATTTCTTCTAAAATCTAGTTGCATTTCAGAAAAAAAATTCTAGCCCAAGTTTTTTTGTAATTGCTAATATGAAATTTAAATATTATTTCACAATTCCAGGCTTATATTTTGAATTGGATCCAATGACCAGTTCACCAATTAGTTAAATCTGTTGTGGCTTTTTTTCCCTTTTTAGACGAGAAATTCTTTTTGATTATGAGCAATATGAGTACCATGGGACCTCAGTAAGTATAAACTCGCTTACCATAAAAACACAAAGTTCCAATGGAAATAATATCCAACGTTGTAATTATCTAATACTACTACACGTTATAATAATATGGTTATATCTTGTTGGTTTTTGTTATGTCTTATTGTTATAGATGTAGGGAGCTTGTTTGCCTTTCAGAGATCTCAAAGTGTCTGTTCCTCCTGTCATTTGGGCTCTTTTATTATTTTTATATTTTGTTAAGTGCTGCTTTATATATAATGCAGGTTTGCAGAGCTGTATAAAATATTTTCTTTCTACTTAGTGTCTTAGTAAGAAACTGGTGATTGTCAAACCCAACTGTGATTTGTAGATCTTCAGTAACATGCTAGTACTTGGCAAATTTAACTGTTTTTGTTTTTTTTTTAATTTAGTGAGAGTTTTCTGTTCATTTATCCTCTCTTTTTGCTTTTTCCTCGTATAGTCTGCGATGGTGATGTTTGATCTGGCGTGGATAATGTCTAAAGACTTAAATGACATGTTGTGGTATGTTTCTATTATCATTTTTCATAGAGGCTAGCAGCTTGATGTGATAGTAAAGAGACAAGATTTCCCAAAACTATTTGATTTCAGTTTGAGGTTCCAGTTTATTTCCCGAGTCAATATATGTCTTCAATTGGAGAACATGTCTGTGTAAATTAATTACAAGCAACCAACAGATTTTGCATGGAAAAAGGGAGGATGGTACTGTGTGTGTATGTCTGCTAAAGGAATAATAGTATATAGCTTTGTTATTGACTTCTATGTACAGTTGGTGATCAGTGTTTCTGACTTGTTCTGTTACATACTTAGAGGGTTAAATAAAATATACTGTACTGGAATATATTTTGTTTTAACTTTTTTTTTTCCTTTTCCTTCCCCCCCCAATTTTAGGTGGGCTATTGTTGGCCTAACAGATCAATGGATCCAAGATAAAATCACTCAGTAAGAAGGATTTTTAAATTTATCTTTATTATTTTAAAAATTTATTTATCTCTTAATAGCAATTACTAGAGAGCAGGAAACATATGTGAATTAATATAATACAAGATGATTAATAAACAGTGACATTAAATATCTTAATGAAATAATGTGATCTGATGCCTTCCACAACCAGGAATATACATCAGAAAGAATTGTATTTTCCGTTTCTACTGTTTAGAATTTTAAAATTTTAAATAATAGGAAGGCATTTTTAACTCCATTTTTCAGAAAATTATAAAGCAATCACTTCTGATCCAGGAAGAAAAGTTGTTTAGTAGTAGTTTATGTAAATATGACCTTGATACAGTTTTATTGAAGGAAAAAAGTTCTGTATCTTCCAACTTCCTTTCCAATTTTAGTTAACAGTTTTCAAATTTTCTCCTTCCTCCCCCTGCCCCGCTTCATATTTCTTTCTAGATACTGTCAGAATTCTAGTAGTACATGTGTACTAATACTGGTGTTCTATTGTTACTAGTACACTGTCTTTAAGAAGATATATGTAATAAGTAACTCATTTCATTGGTCATCCTGTCTCCGCATTGGTTTTATTTTGGCTTTAACTGACTAGGTGTATGGCTGAATATTGAAAAACATCATTTAACAAGTTGGGTTTTTTAAAAGATGTGTCTGCAGTTTTCACGCTGCTGACAGGTCAGTGTGTAAGCTTTAGTAAGAATTTCTTGTGTTCTCATAATCAAGAAGAAAAATACACAGGAAGAATGTGAAGTGACAATTTTTTTTGTTGTTTAAGAATGAAGTATGTGACTGATATTGGAATCCTACAGCGTCACGTGTCTCGCCATAACCACCGCAATGAGGATGAAGAAAATTCTCTGTCAATTGATTGCGTGCGAATAGCATTTGAATATGAGTATCCTTCCATAGAATCTGGGAAAAAGCAAACTTTACTGACCTAGTGTACCCCAACTGAGTTTGTATCTAGGGGAAAAAAAATCCCAAACTTCTCTAATGCTGAGAATGGAATTAAATGGAAATTGGAATGGTTTGTTGAACATGAATGCCTCTTTCAATATCTCATGTAGCTTCATTTCAGCTCAACCTTTCAGAATTAGTTACAAGTCAGCATTGCTCATCTTGTGTTACGTGCACCTTCAGCACCTAGCTATATTATGGAGTATACAGATGTGAGGTATAAGGGAAAATGAAGACCTACCTACTAGTTACAGAGTTTTGTTAATATTTGTAACTTCAAATGATACAAGTGTTCATAGTTATTTTCCCTAATTCCTGTTCAGTCTGCGCCTGGCCCTTTATCAGCACTGGTCTCTATATGAAAGTCTCTGTAACACTTCGTATACCTCTGCAAGCTTTAAGCTTTGGTCTGTACAAGGGCAGAAGAGGCTCCAGGAGTTCTTGGCTGACATGGGGTGAGCTATAAAAATTTGTATCTCAATTAAAGGAGCATTTTTTCAGTGAATTATGGAAAAAATATTGAGAATATAGATTGTGAGAATGCAACTTGTTAGTTTTTAGATATGATTGTGGGGCTCCGAGTAGGTTACAGAGTCTCTTGGAGTTGAGTTATGCAATTTGTCTTGTACAAGGACTACTTCAACTGTGTGCCTTTATAGAATAGTAGGTTAGACAGCAACCTATGCTTTCTCACATCCACTCCTCAACGACTAAAGAAAAAAGAACACAAACAAGCTTAGTCACACTTAACTTGTTAAATTATCTAATATTAAGAAAGTCTTATGAAAGGAAGGCAAAAATATTTGTTTCATCTGGCATGCCTATCAATGTATTTTTTTCCTTCTGTTTCTAGTTTGCCTTTGAAGCAAGTGAAACAGAAATTTAATTCCATGGACATGTCTTTGAAAGAAAATCTTCGGGAAATGATTGAAGAATCTGCAAACAAATTTGGGTAATTTTCAGATAAAGCATTGCGTATTTAAAAAAAATACTTTTCAATTAAGTTCCAACATTTTTGTGCGAAGGGATGTAACATCTTGTTTTAAAAATATGGGTTTTAGATTGGCAAAGTAGTATTAAGCTCATTGCAAATGCTAGGGTATGATTTGTCTTCATGTTCTTAACATTAACAACCAGAGGAGATGGCTGGTCAATGCTGATAATAATGTTGATAATAATCTTTACTGGTTTTATCTCAATTTGCAGAATGAAGGATTTAAGAGTTCAAACCTTCAGCATTCATTTTGGCTTTAAGAACAAGTTCTCAGCAAGTGATATAGTTTATGCAACAGCTTCTCTCATGGAGAATGTAGAGAAAGAGGGGCCTGAAACAACTAATTTCATTAAAGCTTTGGACAGTCTCTCCAGGTACCAAAAATATGTCCCTTCATTCTTTAACTATTTTATTTAGGGCACGTGGGTTATGTATCTAAAAGATGCCTTGGTGCTTTGTAAGTTGTTGGAGAAAAATCAAAATATCTGTGTGAGTAGTGTTTAAAGACGTCTCGCTTTTGTGTGAAAAGCTTTATTTTTGTATGCAAGTGTTTATTTTTATTTGTTCTGTTGCAGGGGTAACCTGGACAAACTGCACCATGGACTGGACCTTGCCAAAAAACAGTTACGTGCCATTCAGCAGACAGTAGCCAGCTGTATTTGCACCAACCTTGTAATTTCTCAAGGGCCTTTTCTCTATTGCTCTCTCATGGAGGTCAGAATTCTAGTTTTTGGCTGTATTATTTGGCTGTCTCATCGTTGAATAACACTGTTTTTGTAACTGCTTGACTCAATAAGAATGGCTCCATCAGCAATAACCTATTTGTCTATACTGTGCCCTCTGATGGGCCTATATTGACATCTACTCTGAAATTCCAAAAGGAAGAATCCGTCCTCTCACAGGGGAGAGGGCTTTGTTTCCATGTCAAGTGGGTGAGATTAAACTCCTATATTGTAATGGTTCTTGTCAGTGTTCTTTGAGCCACACAAAACCTTTAGACCTGTCAGTAGATATTAAAATTAAATAAGTGGAAGAATCATCTTGGCTTGTCATTGAAATAATTCTTCTTTTCCTAGGGCACACCAGATGTGAAACTGTTTTCCAAACCAGTGTCTCTGTGCCTACTCAGTAAATACTTACTGAAATCGTTTGTTTGTTCTGTAAGTACACGAAAAGCTTTCGACTAACTAACTTCTGGCCTGTGTAGTAGTTATTGTTCTGTTGGATACTTGCAGTTGATTACTAAAAGCATTATGTGCTAATTGGTTGGATAATTTTAGCATATCTGTGAATGCTCCTCTGGGAAAGATAACTGCCTGGGAGACAGTTTAGAAGGAGTTTTCATCACTGAAATACTTAAAATCTAAAATCTTTGTGTAATTTTGTAAGTTTTGAGGGAGCATATCACTAAATATGTACTTTGAAATGTTAATGTGACACCAAAAAAAGCAATATTGCAGGACTGGTAATTGTTATCTAAAGATTTCTGTGTCTGTCTGAATAAAATCCTCTGGTCTTTACAACTAATGTAACTGAAATTAAATTGCATTTATCTTTTGAGCACAATTCAGATAAAAATTACGTTTTAAGATTGAGAACTGTCTTCGCAGTGAGCACTTCCTAATTTGTAAATTAAATTTATGATGGTCCATCCTTGTCAGATTGCGTCTGTCTGTCCTCATTTTGAAAGTTAAACACCGTGAATAACCAGTCCGCTGCCAGGAGCAGGACAGCATTTTTAAAACTTGCTGTGAAACATTTATCTTAAGAATAGAACATTTTAACCAAATTCTGTTTCATATACTTAATTGTCTAAAAATATTAAAATCTTCAGAATTACTTTTGGATTTAATTGAATTACAGAATTTGTTAAAGTTACAGCTTACTGCTGTAAAACAATATGACAGGGGAAAATATTTTCTAGTGAAGACTGTTTCCAATGTTTCATTTGTTGTATTTCAGTATAAGATGATTATTGCAAAAAATTAAGCCCAGTCTAAGTTTTTAGATATCCATAACTGTAGTTCTTCCTTTTTTTAAAAAAAGAATTTTTTCTTTATTGTAAATACTGTCTTGTCTGTCTGTATCACTTCGGTGTTAAAATAGAATGCAAGATCGAAGAACTGAAATTTCTCTTGGTCCTTAAAGTGACTTTTACTGTAAGAAAGAAGGGCATTACGAGATTATGTAAAGAAAACACCTTCTGTGGTACTGCATTATAGATGTATCCTTAGATGAGTATTTGTAATACTAGCTCACACAGAGAGCTGAAACTAAATTGTTTCCTGAGTTTTGTCTAACAAAGAGGCTTTCTGACTTCCAGACAAAGAACAAGCGCTGTAAATTGCTGCCACTGGTAATGGCTGCACCGATGGTTGTTGAACAGGGAACTGTGATCATGGTGGGGATTCCTCCAGAGACAGAAAGCTCTGACAAAAAAAAGTAAGCATATTGTTTAAAAGTTCTTTCTAAAGGTTATCTATAGACTTTTCCTGTCTCTGAAGCAAATATATCTTTCCTGTATCTATTTAACACTGAATGGGTTGACTTGAATTGTATCCTTCTTAAAAACATGCATTTTGCATAGGATATGCACAAGATACTTGGAGACAATACAAGTGTTCCCCAACTTCCCTGAAAGTTTGGTTTTTTTTTCTTCTTCTTAACTATTGCTTTATCAAAAATAGGGAAATACTTCACTATATGACCCATGACTTGATTTCTTAAAGCCTGCAACGTTCAGATTTTTGCACTTGAATAAGTGAGGTGTATGTTGAATAAGTGGCACATGAAAAATATCTGGAAGACGTTTTAAACTCTCAGCAAGGAAAAAGTTCCATATTTCTACCTTCGTAAAGATAGCCTTTTCTGCAATGTTCATTTGTATTTCTGTTCATCTTCTAGCTTTTTTGGAAGAGCTTTTGAGAAAGCTGCAGACAGTACCAATTCTAGGACTTTGCACAACCATTTTGACATGTCAAGTGAGTAATGCTGTCACTTGTTCCATTCACCAGATAGTCCTTCAGGGGTCAGTGTTCACACGGCCGCCATAAAGCACAATGGCTGTAGACAAGACACTCATTTGTGTATGTCTTAGATGCAAACATCAAGGGTGTCTATCTGATACCCTGTTCCTGTGTCTAATACAAAAACAAACTACCTTATTTATCAATCTTTTTCTAAGTGCTATCTTGTGCATAAATGGTAAACTACTAAGTAGAGGCTTGCATGTCTTTTTGAGGCAATCTACATTTTGCATGGAGTGATGATTTTCATATATGTACCTCAGTTAAAACTCTACGAGGTTATCTGTGAGATTTCTTTATATTTAGCAGCCAAACCAAGTCTGATGGTGATGTTATGAGGTGCGTTCTTCATTGTCTGTTTGAAAAAGGAGATTCTGATGCAATGAGATTTGTAAGCACATACAGAGATAGGCAAAAGAGACAGGTTTTAATAACACGTACTTATGTATGAATGTTGAACATACAAAGAAACATTCCTCAATTTAAAAAGTGGCAGCTATACCTTTCAGTGAGCACCTAGAAATTGGAGTTTGCTGAAATTTGAGAGTAAAATAAACAATGTGCTTTGCATTTTGTCCAAATAACGAGTTTATCTTTCCTTTTTAAAGTTCATTAAGAATATAAATAAGCATACTTGGAATTAATATTCTTCAAGTGTGATAATCAGTATGTCTTTCAGTTATATGCATCTTGTAATAAAATTTTTCATATCTTAGTAATTGAATTGAAAACAGAAGACCGGAGCAAATTTCTGGATGCACTCATTTCTCTCTTGTCCTAATGGTAAGTCAGTGTAAGGAGGATTAATTCAAAAATTAATTACAAATCAAGTTAGTAACCCAGTGACATTCATATGTTATCTGTAGAATGTTATAAGAAAGTGTGACAACTTCTATTGAAAATGTAAATTGAGGATAAGAGTTTCTTACAAAGTCAGTTGTTTTTCTTTTGGGGAGGAGGCAGACAATGTACAAGCAGAATATTTTTTTTTTCCTTAAGAGATTCATTTAAGTTTCGTCATCCACAAGCTTCTCTTCCATTGTTAACTTTTTGTGGCTTTTTAACTTCATCTGGAAAAGGGGCAGCTATTGGCGTTGTGAAAGAAATTGAGATATTAGCTAATTGTAGTTGATACTCTGTTACTGAGTTTTTATTTTAATTATGATGGCTTTTTTGAGCTTAGGATGGAATCTCAGCCACAGCAGTGCCATTCTTAGCTTTGACACTAATGCAGAAGTTGCATTTTTCTTTCACACTGTTCAGGTTGTAGCCTCTGTTAGTGTGTAGTTTTTATCTGGAATAAAGATGGGGATATAAGACTTCATTTGTAGTTGTGACTATTTGCTTCACGCTAGTTCAAAGTCTGTTTTAAAGCTACTTCAGGGCAAGACAGATTTTACTGTCAATCCGATGAGATTGTCAAATTGTTGTGATTGTTTTCAAATATTCACTGCTTTTCAGTGATGAACTATTTTTATTGGTTTGTGTGTGCGTTTATACTGCAGTGATGGGTGGAGACAGCTTACTTTCTCACAGAGAAGCAGCCAAACTCTAAATTGTTTCGTAAAATCTATTCAGACAACCTGTAAGTCTGTCTGAAAGTATATAAAGTACCTCGTGGCTTTTTTCACGCCTAGATAAAGATTTGGTCTTTAATATGTGAAGTAGTCTCTCAAGATTATGGTGTACGTATATACAAAAATGAAGGAGTAAGTGAAGACTTTCACAACAGTCTGTGAATGTTGGTAGTCCTAGCCACATGACAATATAACTTTTCTTTTTTCAATGGGTATCAAAGTAACAATTTCTTTTTTCATCTGTTCACTCGAAAGCTCGAAACGGTGGGTCAATAGCTGCAGTTGTTGTTTGGTAGACAGCATAGTCATGCGTGGCTTCTGAGATTTCTACATCTGCTTGTTTGTTTGCTGCTTTACACTGGCTACTGGTTGTTTCAGTTTGTCTTCTGCCTCTGTTACACAGTGGTGCTTTTTGGCTCCTTGTGCTGGAAGCTGAGGATCAGATGCTCTGAAATTATTTCAGATGTTCCAGAGTTCATGGTGCTGCAATTGTGATGTATCGTCTTGCTTTATTTTAAATGTACCGGTACAGGCCTGGACTGTTTTTTTGATGCCTCTTGGGAGGTCAAAAGGATTTTAACCTTGGCACACAGATATTGAACACTGCCTCTTTGTAAAGATCCTATCCTTGTAATGGCTAAAGGTGTCAACTAGGAGTATTTGCAAATCGGACTTCTACTTGTCAACTCTGCTTTTATTAGTAGACATGCTTCTGTGATATTTAGTTGTTGGTTAATAACAAAAAATAGGTTTTGAAGAAGTTCCATATTATCTTACCATTCAAATGTTCTTTTAAAGTTGTCTTGAATGCTTTTTACTTTTTTTATAAGAAACTTTCTGAAACTCCCCTTGAATTTCTAGAATGTTGAAACTGTTTTTAGAACTGTCAGGTTGAGTCTCGTACTTGAATAGAAATAATTGTTTTGTGAGACAAGTTTTAAGATTTTAAGGCTTTTAAAATCCAAGTACTGAGTAACTGCCAAATACAAAATGAAAAATCTAGGGAATTCTGGTGTGAATAAAGCATTTTTAGTCCTGCATTGTGATACTGTATTGTCACTTGTAGCTTGGCTTTGGGAATAATTTTCCTGGAAAGGGTCTAAAATACTATGGTAATTGTGTGTGGGCTGTGTGAATTTCATTTCACTTTGGTCATATGAATTGCTATTGCTCGTTAGACTTATAGATACCCACTCAATGCACAGCCTTATATGTGTATGGTTGTAATTTTTTTTTCTTCTTTGTGATGTTTGCTTGAATTCTGTGTGACTTTAATGTTTTTGTATATTATAATGAATATGTAAAAGCTATGTATCATTACATCATACTTTGTACAGATTTTTAATGCAGTTTAATTTAACATTAAATGTGATTTAAATGTAACCAACAGAAAGCTAATTAAACTATATATTTTTATTCAGACTAAGGTGGTTTTTTTTTTTTCAAATGTTGTCATCTTATCTGAGCAGTATAATCCCTGTGCCAAGCTGTGATAGCCAAAAAGTTGCGCTTCCTAACATCTATCAGGAAATCCTAAACAAGCAACTAAATTCCTTACTTTCTCCCTATACAAAACCTTTAAACAGGGAAAAGAACATTGTGAGGAAGGCATCAAAAAGCATGGGCATGTAACATCTCAGTTTAATTACTGTCTCTAATTACATTTTGTGATACGTTTTCAATACAAGCAGTGGTTTTGGTGGTTACCATAGCAAGCTATCACCTTTGTCTTCTTGTTTGAGGTTTTGCTTTTCCTGTTTTTTTTTCCTCCACCCTCTCATTAGAAGCTCCATGTGAACCCTTGATCTCATTTCATCAATTCTCTTATTGCTGCTGTATCCCCATCTCTCTCCTGGAGCTTTATGTATTTACTCCATTCCCATTCAGGGCATGTTTGGGTTCTACTGCTACCACCTTTTCCTGCTGTTGTGGTCAATACAGACCCTGCCTCACAATGTCGGAGGAGGCTGGAGGAGGGGAAGTGTTTGTAAGTTTGTTTTAGTAGGTGACTGTTATGTCTTGAAAAATGGACAAATTTTCAGGCATGTGCACCCTTTATCTTCAGCATATTGAGTTGTGCTGGGAAGATGAGAAATGAGAGCTAGTTTTTATGCTGGGATGTGTTGATAATTACTTACTGGCAGGTTCTTCAACCTCCAAACAGATGTGTAAGCTTGAAGCTGTGGACCTATTGCATGGAGGATAAGATTCCCTTGTCCCTCCTTTATTACTTTTTGGGGGTTTTGGGGGTTTTTTTTAAGCTTCTAGTTTTCCCAAGATTTACTGGAGGTGCCAAGAATGCTCTTGCAAATTTTAGAATTGATCAGCTCTTGAACTGATCCCAAGGCCATCCAAATGTGACCCAGAATCAGTTAGGCATGCTGAATGCTATGTAAAAAGGAAGTTTTTAAATCTGTGTGGAAATCTCAAGAAGTCTCTGCCAATAGATAAAACTTTTGCTTGTCAACATTTTACAATAAGTAAAATAGTCTCAGGCACTCCTTACATAGTTTGTTCTATGCTATAGAGTTCTTAGGTGAATATGTTAATATTACTTGGAGATTCATTGTACAGGAAGATCCAAAACTGTGGAATCACCAGTGTGTGGATATGAAAGCAGCTCAGTTCAGCAGCAGTAAATTGGTGGTTTGAATGGCTCATTGCACCTCTGTTGTGTAGGTTAGTTAAAATAGTCACTTCTTACAGTTAAATGTTGGACAGACTCCATGCCAAGAACTCTTGACATCACTTCACGAAGAGATTATTATGCTTTTGATTTATTTGCCCAAACAGAAAATGTGGCTCTAACAAGTAATTTTAAAATAAATACTTAGAGCACTAAGAAATCGGCTTACCCTCTTGGATGTATGGCGACATTCCACCTAGCCATGTCTGAATACAAATAGAAACATTCCCTAAGGATTACATTTGAGCTGCAGTAACTCTTTTTCTTCTGCTGTGTTTGCTTGCTGTAATAGTACCCTCATAAATCAGCTCTTTAAATTATTTCTGCTGCTGCTAATCTGTTTTAGAGAACAATAAAAGTATGAAACAAATCCTTTAAAATGTTTTAGTTTTTTAAGAAAATGAAATAATGAAAATCCTTAAATACCAAAGTACTGAGGCAGCTGAACCAGCTGACTAAATTATACCATTCCTGCACAGTGATTCATGGCCATTCTCTTTCTGGGGTGATAAATTTAGACATAATTGAAATTGCACAGTAAGGACCTCATTTGATTGGAATTAAAGCGAATCCCTTTCCCCAGAAGAATTGTATTGACTTAATAGGCTTGTACTTACCAACATCAAGGTTGTATAGTGGGAAATAATTAATTCGTACTTGTACTTTAGCTCTTAAAAAAAAAAAAAAAAAGAAATTAAAGTGTTACACCTTTTTTGTGTGAATGAGCTACTGGGTCTATACCACTTTAAACGTGGTAATAGTAGCCATGGTGTGAGACCAGAGAGCCGTTTAATCATTATCTTGACCTTATAATGTCAAAAGCAGGTGCTAGGGAAGAGTATATAAACAAAGCAATTGCATATGATGCTTCCTTCCCGATACAAACACAAGTACTCTCCCAGTCCTCCTGCTCAAGGACACCCTGAACCAGGTGTAGTTTCTGTGTGTTTGGTTACTGTCATTAGTTATCTGTGAAC